TCATCATATTTCATAAACTGGGGAGAAATTTCTCAAATTGTCCACATGTAAATCTCTTCAGGTCAACTGAGTCATTCATTAAAAAATATGCGCATATAGTCTGTATCATTATTAATGACTTAAGGATTTGGCAACAGTGATTTCACAAATTTGATACATCCATACATAGTTTTCCTCATCTCTGACATCACGGTTGCAGGCCTGTCCATGAATTTCAGTTATTCAGCATGTATGTATATACAATATGTTTAAATTACATGGAAAAACTGTCAGTTTGGAAGCAAATTACATTATGTTGAATGTTGAGAAACAGTGGTGTGAGGTAACCCTACCCACGACTGTTCCTGACAGAGAGGATATGATTTAAGACACGTGTATATGTGGTGTGTAAACTAAAAGCAGCATAGCAAGAAAATAAAAAAAAATCTATATTTTTAAACCTAAACTATAACCGGGAATAAAAAAGAACATGCATCCTGAAACTAAAGTAGGTTTCTAAAATATATAATTTGATTAACATTACCTGTTGGTAATGTCCCATGAGTTAAATTGTCCTCTAATCCCATTCCTCAATGTTTAATACATTCTGCAAACATATTCACTGAGTAACTACATGACAATAACAGTAATGACAATGCACCATGCGGTTTAATTGATCATAAAATCATTTAGAATGAAAAAACTCAATTCAGCTTCATACTATTATTGAGAATTAAGAAGTAAACACATTTGGCTTGCGATTAAAAATGTAGGGGATAAAACCAACATCAAGTCTTTCTCTGATGTAATTATTACAGATTAATTGTCAAAAGAGTGAGTTAAACGGCTATTTATACATCTTTAGCAGGCCCAACATGTTCGTTTGGATCTATAGTATTAAACTGCTTCACACATGGTGTATGTGCAGTATTGGGAGAACCAGAGTGGTTTAGAGATTCAAAGGAAGTATGTTTGCTAAAGGCGGAGAAGTATTCCTCTATCAACAGAGTTTCTGCCAATGTCTGACTGTGCTCTCAGTCATAGCAAGCAGCTTTATAGTGAGAGTAGACCGTATACTGACATCTACAAACACACACTGGTTTCCATGTTTTATTGGGACATTCCATAAGTGTAATGGTTTTTATACTGTATTCTCTGTCCCCTAAACATACCCCTCATACCAAAACTTTTTAGATTATCAGAAAACTTCATTCTGTATGATTTCTAAGCCGTTTTCCTCATGGGGAGCAAAAAATGTCCCCCCAAGGTCAAAATTGACTGGTATTACTATCATTGTGGGGATATTTGGTCCCCATAATGTAGGGAATACCAGATACACACACACACACACACAGCTCATACTAGTAGACTATAATCTGTTCCGATTTTGTTCTTTGTGCCTTACTTAACTATATGCAAATAAAGCTAAGTGAGAGTGACTCTGTTACAGTAGCTCAGAATACATGTACAGTAAAAGTCCATCTGGCTAGGGGTCATGCGTTTATTTCGCAATCAGTGTTCTAGACTTGCATCCATGGCAACGCATGCAACAAGCACTGATCAATGACATACCATAATGAGGTGATTCATCCCATACACATAAATAAGGGTCAGTCCCTTGATAGCAAATACCATCATTACTCAAAAGTGTTACAACACTTATAGATCGGAAGCAGACCATTTCAGTTGACACGGTTGATTCAGTACAACTTAAACAGAACTCTTATTTTTTGCATATAAGACCTGTTTCTAGATTAAAATGTTGTGGTCATTATATACTCACATTTCTTTAAAGATCACATACACGCGTCAGGAAGTAGTATCATTTGATTTTCTGGATATCATTTAAGTAAAAATTGCCGTGTGATTTCAGACATTCCAGAAAAGCTATATGTTCTTCAATAAAAACAACAGTTGTTTATGGGCCAAATTAAAACAAGAAATATGTCTGTTTAAATGTTGTACATCTTGCTTTAACCATTTTTTAGCATTTAAAGTTTTAGAGAAAGGTCGATTGTGTTCATATAACTAATTTAAGGTCATCAGAATTGCTGAAGCTGCCTAGAATTAATGAACTAACTGGTCATAGAACAGACAGCAAGAGAAAAATTACAACTGTAATTTATCATCACAAACTGTGTTTATTTTTTATTTTTATTGTCATCAGCACGTTCAACACACTATTTGTCAATGTGTGACATGCGTCTTTAATAAAAGTCATTTAGGGGGTTAAACCTCTAAATACAAAAATCACAACATTAGATGAAAACTGTATTTCAAAGAAACAATACTTTGCATTTTTGTACAGATGTATATACAAAACAAAGGCAAAATACCTCAAATCGAACAAATAGGAAGAAATTGACTATTTCTACAGATCTACTGGAGAACTAGTTGAAGAGTGCTTGTGGATTAAATCCAAAGGAGACCACTGGTTAATCTGTTAAAAATGAAGGATGGAAAAATATACAGAGGAAAAACCCAAGTCTTCAAAACAAAAGGACATTTTTCTTCAGTACAAACTGTGATCCACTCAAATGATTAGCATTACTCACAAATTAGCATATTATGGTGTGTGTATCATACAAAACATTTGGTCATTTGTCAGTGAAAATATGACAACCTTAAAAGGGACTGTGTTACTGTGATACTCCTCTTAACATATACATAGAAAGATTAAGTACTCATGCCCCAAAACCAAAGCAAGAGAAAAATACAATACTGCCTTAGTGATGGACATTTAAAGAATAATTGGCAAATTAAAGAAAGAACATTCCAGGCCTCTGGACTAGCACACAGATAACACCACCCGTTACACATGTCATAATAATAAACAGCTATAATTCATACTGAACCTGGATTAGATCAGAAATCAATGTGTTTAATTGATGAGAGTGTAAGAAATTAATTTGCTAACCATTTAAGTGCCATAATACTTCTTTAATAGCCAACCAAAAAGTTCGATAGAACCAGCACAAACAGTGGGATTGAGGATCACTAAAAAGATATTCACAGAGAATACACAGGCCAAAAGAAGTCTCTAAAGAAATGGGAAGGGGGTAAAGACATCAGGACGAGGGAGAAGCCAAACCAAGCGAATTTCAAACAAAAACACATGACAAAGTTCTGCATTTAAAGCATTTGCATGCAATTTCCGTTTTCAAAACATGATTATGCCATTATTATTGCTTTCTGCTCAGTATTATTTTGGATAATTCTTCATCTACACACCTGACCCTGATTCTCGAAGAGGACAATTTCATAATATTTCACTACTTTTTACACATTGTTTTTCAAACGACTGTACTATAACGCCGTCCCCTTGCAGTTATGGACACGTTCACTCTCCTCCTCAACTATAAAACAATATTTTCCCTGAGCAGTCCCAAAATACCCTTTTATGAGGTCAGATATTTGATGGATTGTCTTTCACGGAACAGATACGAACAAGAATACTACAGGTAAAGCAGTGCCAGCCCTTACAAAAAACATTAAACAGAGATGTCAGATCGGAACATCTTTACTAAGGTTATTGCTTGTCCTTGTTTGTAGGCTGCGTGCTAAATGCATTCAATTTGGTTCAAACATGCGTGTTGAAGGGGCACAAAAAAATTGACACAAAGATCCAACATCTTTTCAAAAACAAGCCTGTGTACACAGCTGCAAAATAAAGGAAGAAAAAAAAAAGAAGTGACCATTTTTATTCTCTCCTCTTCCCTGATGAGCTGCATTACTAGGTGCAAAAAACGTCTAGACGCATCTCAAAAAGGGTCAGTTAGGAACAACGCCAACCACCTCCAATCCCCATGACGTTTAATACGAACTGCTAGATCCCCTGGAATGTCAACACATGCCCCTGATCTGTCAATAATCGCTGCACTCAACTCACTTTGACGGAAATCTAATCACAGAATCACTATGGCACAACAGGGAGTCACACTACCGTCTAGACAACGCGAGCTGGCTTTAAAAGACAGAGATTTAACAAAACACAAACAAGTATTTCAGATCTTAGCATGTTCCTTCAGTTTTTTTTTTCACAAATTCAATTGAAATCGTTTATTGCTGGGAAAAACACAAAGTGCTACCTTTCGTTAGGTTCTACACATCATACATCGCATGATTTAACTAACCACATAACAATAATATATGCTATCTCAAAAAGGGTCAGTTAGGAACAACGCCAACCACCTCCAATCCACATGACGTTTAATACGAACTGCTAGATCCCCTGGAATGTCAACACATGCCCCTGATCTGTCAATAATCGCTGCACTCAACTCACTTTGACGGAAATCTAATCACAGAATCACTATGGCACAACAGGGAGTCACACTACCGTCTAGACAACGCGAGCTGGCTTTAAAAGACAGAGATTTAACAAAACACAAACAAGTATTTCAGATCTTAGCATGTTCCTTCAGTTTTTTTTTTCACAAATTCAATTGAAATCGTTTATTGCTGGGAAAAACACAAAGTGCTACCTTTCGTTAGGTTCTACACATCATACATCGCATGATTTAACTAACCACATAACAATAATATATGCACATATTTGAGCTCACTGCCTCAGAACATGCCATTTGATCGTAAAAGTTTCAGTACGATAGTGATTCAGGTCTCATAGTTTGAGTCCCATGTCATGCCTCGTCCACTGTCTTCTCCTGGGGCTGGGGCTGGGGCAGTGGTTTTGCCAAATGATGTCCCTGCTGAATGTGTGTACACTGGAAGAGGTCCGTAAAGGGCAGTGCTGTGACGTTAGCACCAACGTGGGCTGTTCATTGTGGCACCGGAGAAAAAAGACAGGGATTTCAGCTCTAGACGTTCATTTCCTGTCTTCGTCTACCCCAGCCAGACACCTCGTTACTGTCTATGGCCAGTAGAGGGCGATGCTGGGGCGGTCAAATGCAGTGGGCGTTTCCGCTGAGATCTCATGCAGTCAGAACTGGAGGCTGAAAGATAAATCTGTGGCATGGAGGAATGCTCTGATGCACATTACAAGACATCACCAGTTTTTTACCCCTCGCATCTGAAATTTCCTCTTCTAAAAGATCCGCAAGCCTTCTGGTGCATGGCCAATGGGGCAAGTTCAAAGTGCGGCTGGACTCTGAGAAGTGCTTTGTGAGAATGAAGTGTACATGAACTGAGGCTGAAGTGAGCTTAGAGTTCTTGTCAGCATGTTATTATTGTCTCTCTCTCTCCATCTCTTTTTTTCTGAATCTGTGCAGTATAGGATTAGTCTCTATCAGGCCTCCTGAGGCAGAACCTGCTCAAAGTCTGAGCCAAACAGCTCCTTATAGAGTGGAGGGAAGCGTGTGTGGACTGTTTCTGGGTAAAGAGCTCTGAATGTGCTCAGTTTTTCCATATGGCGACGGCATAACATCCGAACGGTGGACACTTTACAGACAAGCTGAGGGGGGGACAAGCAGAACATCAGAACTGGTTGTTCTACGGCAGTTCTTAAGAGAAATTTGACTTGGGAAACAGTGATCAGATAAAGTAAATATAACTAGTTTCTACAAAGGTAACTGCAAACATGAGTGTATATATACCTTTGCGAGAATTCCCTCATCCCTCTGGTTCTTCTGCAGGAGGTTCTGGAGGGCAATCTTGATCTTCTGCTGGAGTTTCTCCACTCTGGTCTTCTCCTGCAGCCAGGAGCGATCTACACACACACACACACACACACACACAAAGAGTTCAGCACCTACACAGATTTGAAGCAGATAAACTGTGTAACAGATACACAGCAGAGTTGGCCAAAATTCGGATGAGTTGGAATTAGAATTGAACTGGTCACACCCCACAGGAGGATAAATTGGAATTAGAGGAAGAAGAATTTAATAAATTACAATTCAAAGAACACAAGTAATGCATTCTTAGAAATTAACTAGGTCCCACTTTGTATTAGGTGGCCTTAACTACTATTACTACTTTATTACTATTACTATACTTATTGTGTTCATATTGTATTGCAAAACACTTCTGGTGCTATTGAGGCGGGATACGGGTACTGTAAGAGGGACATGTTTGGTGGTATGGGTAGGTTTAAGGTTAAAGTTGTAGTTACAGTGTAAATGTAATTACACAAAATTAATTACAGATGTAATTACATGTAGATTAAAAAAAAAAAAAAAGTAAAAAAGTACAATGTAAAAACATGCATGTACACAATAAGTGCATTGTATCAAATTATTAATTTAAATGCAAATACATAGTAGTTAAGTCCACCTAATATAAAGTGGGACCATGAACTGTTCTTCCACTCTGGTCCACAAAACTGACGTTATGAAATATGATAAAATATACAAAAGATTGGGGTTGGTAAGATTTTTTTAAATGCTTTGAAAGACTGCTCACCAGGCTAATTTTACAAAAACACAGTAAATGCAGTAATACTGTGAAATATTCTTATAATTTAAAATGACTCTTTTCTATTTTAATATATTTTAAATGTCTTTTTTTTTTTTTTGCATTTTTGTAGGATTCATGCACGAAAAAAAGAACAGCTTTTAATTATGATTTAATGACAACCCTGATATTCAGAGGACGTACAATTAAAGCCTCTGCAAAATGGATGTGACTCCAACTCCTATCAGTGAATCTCTCTGACATTGGCCTTGTTTTTCTTCCCTCACCTGCAGACATCAGCACGTATGCTGAAAACAGGCCGATCTCATCTTCACTGAGCTGTAGAGAGTTCAGGCTCTTCGCAAACTCAAACACAGAGCTGATAAGATCATCACAGCCTAGAAAAAAACAACAACATGAAAACAGCGGTTAATGCTTTGTATTTTCATTTGCTATTTCCTTTTCCTTTAAAAGAGGAATCCAGCTCTTAATGCACACCCAATGCTTTGAAGACCTCCGGCCCAGCATATTTGCTGTCAAAAAAGACAGTGTTGTTCTGGGAGTTATATGCCCGACACATCCTCACGAACACTACTTCTAAAGAACCTGAAAAGCAGAAAAACACGCTCATTATTCAGTGGTTCTGCCACAATTTGTCACTACTCTGATGCTGTTATGTGAACTTGGATATGTTTAGAGGTTTATCTGAGGTGTACCTGCTTTGAGCAGCACGATCTGATCGTTCTGACAGAGCTCCATGAATCCATCAATGCGCTTGGCAAACTCAACCACATACTGCACAGCTTCAGTGACTTTAACCGCACACAGCTGCCACATGTCCTCCTGAGACTAGATGGTGCCGAGAGAGGGTCTGTTAGTACACATACCTGATTATTCCCCTCAGGGATCATTCAAGTGCATTCATCCATCTTTCTGTCCATCCATTTACATACAACAACAACAGAGAAATGTGGGGAAAACAATTGAAGTAATTAGTACAAACTTGTCCTCTTTTAAAAAATGTTTGTGCTTTTTCAACCCCCACTAGTCATAATACATAGCATACAACGCTTTTAGTCACTTCCAGCTGTAAAATCCAGTGGTGGTTATGAAACGAATTTGGGACATTGAGATGATTTGTCTCATCTGACCACTCGAGATGTTAATATCAGGTGTACACACAGAGCCAAATGTACATAACCAAACACCTTCTTTTGGTACGCGTCCAGGTCGGTCTGTAAGACTGTCTGCCAGTTGCTGGGCTGTAGCTCTTCTCGAAGATATTGGCACGTCTCCATTTGAGACTTGCAGATGTTCTCTGACAGATGTTCTGTGTTAGAAACACACAAATAGAGTCAAACAGCTGGAGCTGACACACATTCCTGGGTTTGTGAAATGCACATTAGAAATATTGAAGTTGTATATTATTGCTACACATTTTCTAAAACAAAACCATTAAGACTCATTTTAGTCAAAAAGGAAAAAAAAAGTCCTGTGCTAGTATTTGACTGGTCTGTGTTAATGAGGCACTTCTCACTAATGACATGTTAAATGGGCCATGGAGGTGAGTTCACAGACCCCTGCTGTTTCAAACCCCACAGCTGTCAGTCATGCCCATAATGGCAGAATCCCATATAATTATGTAGTGCGGCGCTATGTCATTTCATTTGATAATATTTTCTTTCTTTGCAATTACGTGCCAAATGATGCCAAAGTAACTAATAGCTAAAATGATTTAAAAAACATTGTCTTTGATATTATCTGTGATATATTCAATGCAATCTTCCATAATAATGACAAATAGCATAAATTCTAAAATAAAAAATATAACAATGAAAAATAAAACAAAATAGAATTTTTATATATATTTTTTGTAAGTGATTAGTATTTTATAGTTGTTACCTAGGTCACTGTCAGGAGGTGAAGAGTCTCCATTGCTATAGCAACAATATTGATCTAAGCCAGAGTCCGAGCTGAGGTCACACACAGGTTCTAGTTTAATGCCATCCATGTCTAGACCTGACTGGTCTGGAGAGGGCTGAATGTCTAGGTAAAATCCACCAATCGCTGAATTCGCCTTTCCCTCCACTGGGGTCTGACAGTTCACGTGTCCACTGAGGTCATCGGGGAGCTCTGTGACGCCATTGGTGGACAGGGCGTAAGAGGGCGTGAGTGGCTCCGCCTCTCCTGGAGGTTGAGGTTCCCGCCCCTTCTCTGTGTCATCACCCACTTTCTCCTCCTGCTGCTGTTGACGGTGTTTCTGAACCTCTGCGAACAGACTGTCCCTCTGCTTCTTAGACATCCGGCCGAATTTCACAGCTGTGAGTGAACAGTTTATCATTAATAATGCTAATATCATACTAAATGTCTGAAAGTATTGGTAACACTTTACAGTAAGGTCCCATTACACTGTAAAAAATATATATTTTTTCGTAAATAAGTTGTAAATAAAGAATACAGGAGCATGTTTTACAAAAACACTTCTTCAGTTTTTCACAAGCAATTTGGGTGTCCACACTAGACGCGTCGCGACTGAATCAAAATATCACAGCCAATCAAAAGCGTTTGTGGGCGGGCTCTCTCTGCAAGCGCAATGCACTCGCAACGAAATGGATACGTTTATAATCTAATTCATGAATATATCAAACCTTTTTTAACATCATTAAATGTACATACTGAGTGACCGATACCATCTTTAGTATGCTTGTTGGTTCGCATCAAGTTCATAGTTTTAACGTACATGTTTGCTTTAATTTATTTTTAAATCTGAGGTAAACTATCTATTGTTGTTTTCAGTATGGCTATAATTGTCACGCAATATGATATTCAAACTCACATGAGACATGTTTAACCTTGAATAAAGCACATAATCAACTGAGAATTATCTACTGTCATAGTTTGTATGTTGTTGTTCCAGCCGTGACATCGCAGAAATAGAAACCATTCCTAAAATAGAAATTTTGCATGTCACTGTCGCAGCTAGTTAGGACAAAAACTCCAGTTAACATGGAAAAATCATCTTTTATCGTTTAACTTTAAACCTCATCAAACCTTTTTTAACATCATTAAATGTACATACTGAGTGACCGATACCATCTTTAGTATGCTTGTTGGTTTGCATCAAGTTCATAGTTTTAACGTACATGTTTGCTTTAATTTATTTTTAAATCTGAGGTAAACTATCTATTGTTGTTTTCAGTATGGCTATAATTGTCACGCAATATGATATTCAAACTCACATGAGACATGTTTAACCTTGAATAAAGCACATAATCAACTGAGAATTATCTACTGTCATAGTTTGTATGTTGTTGTTCCAGCCGTGACATCGCAGAAATAGAAACCATTCCTAAAATAGAAATTTTGCATGTCACTGTCGCAGCTAGTTAGGACAAAAACTCCAGTTAACATGGAAAAATCATCTTTTATCGTTTAACTTTAAACCTTTTACAGTTTAACTGTTTATTGTGAGCTTGTTACCTGAGGTCCATAAAATAATATGAACATACATACAACTTTGGATTTTATTAATGTACTAATTAATGTTAATAAATTATTAATACATTTTTCAGTATGTTAACTAATGTAAGTAATGGTAAGTATTGCTAACAAATGGAACCTTACTCTAAAGTGTTACCAAAGTATCTAACCGGTTTGTTCATGGAATGAGGTTAACAAGGTTAACAAGTAGCCAAGATCTGAACTTCTACTAAAAGCACTGTGAAAGATACAATTGAAATGACTTACAAAATTTTCGAATAAATGCAAATACATTAGCATTTGCCATTGCTTAATAGCATTAAAGCTCATGGTAAGTTTCTCTATGGAGAAAATGAATGGTATTTTTACATTTAAAACCCGAGTCATGGCCAAAAGTTTTGGCAGTGACATAGATTTTGTGTTTTGCAAAGTTTGCTGCTTAAGCTGTTGCGGTGTTCATTCACATTGTTTCTAGATTATTGTGTAGAGTGATCAGATGCATTTTAAATAATTGCTAAAAGCTTCATTGGCAAAAAAATTTACTTTTCACAAACAAAAGCAATTTCACTGTTTTTTGATCCTGACACAAAATGACCAGCTAACATTAATTGACTAATCATTTCAGCAGCACATGTGAAAGTGGGAATGAGTACAAGTCAGGTGAAATCACTATCTTACTAAATAGATTGTAAGAGCAGACTGATTGCTATAAAAGAAGCGCTTCCAATCATTGTGTTCTTGATAGCAATGGTTGGTTACCTCCAAAGAAATACGTGCAGCCATCATCGCTTTGCATCAAAATGGCCTCACATGCAAGGAAATTGCTACAAAGAATATTGCACCTGAAAGAACCATTTACTGGATAATCATGAACTTCAAGGAGAGAGGTTCGACTGCAGTGAAGAAGTCTTCAGGACGTCCCAGAGTGTCCGGCAAGTGCCAGGACTGTCTCCTCCTGAGGAGTCAGCTACAGAGTCGTGTCAACTGCAGTGCAGAGCTTGCTCAGGAATGGCAGCAGGTTGGTGTGAGTTCATCTGCAGGTCAGTGAGGCCAAGACTTTTGGACAACAGCCTGGTGCCAAGAAGGGCAGCAAAGAAGCCACTTCTCTCCAAGAAAAACGTCATTGGATTGGACAGCAGAAGACTGGTGCAAAGTTATTTTCTCTGATGAAGCTCCCTTACGATTGTTTGGGACATCTGGAAAATCGATTGTTCGGAGAAGAAAAGGTGAACGCTACCATGAGTCCTGTGTTGTGCCAACAGTGAAACATCCTGAGACCATCCATGTGTGGGGGTGCTTTTCAAACAAGGGAGTGGGCTCTCTCATTATTCTGCCCCAAAACACTGCCATGAATAAAGAATGGTATCAAAACGTCCTGCAAGAGCGACTTCTTCCAACGAGCCATGAGCAATTTGGTGATGATCCGTGCATTTTCCAGCATGACACAAAGCAAGAGTGATAAAGAAGTGGCTCGATCATTACATTGAAATTTTGGATCCGTGGCCAGGCAACTCCCCGAATCTCAATTCCATAGAGAACTGAGAGAATACTGAAGCAGCAAACTTTGCAAAACACAAAATTTATGTCACTGCCAAAACTTTTGGCCATGACTGTATTGTCACACTCTATACATCTCAGGAGAATTATATACACCAGCAGCCACATGAACATCACTCAGACTGCTGTGAGAGTTGAGAGCCTACCATCTCTTGACATGCCCACTGCTAAGCATTTCTGCAGGCGACAGTGCTGGCAGCGGTTTCTGCTGGTACGGTCGATCAGACAGCTCTTCTGCCGAGGACATGAATATGACACAGTGCCCTGCTGACTCCTCCTGAAGAAACCCTGAAAGAGAGAGAGAGAACACAACAATAGGTCACCTTTAGCTTGCATTTTTGAAGTTCGCATTGCAGCACATCAGAATGATTTATTAACTCTTTAATTAGTACAGTAACTAAATAGGGTTTACACTGCATATTTCCATGCAAATAACTGACTTTTAAAGGAATGTCACAAAATGCACATTTTTATGCCTCTCTTTCCAGTGCAGCGGTGCATTATGGGAGCTCCAAATGAACTCATATGAATGAAGAATGCATGAAGTGTAAATGCCTCTAGAGCACTCTAGTGAGCACAAGCACCTTCTGTGGTGGTTTGTGCCACTCTCAGACAAGTATAAATAAGGCTTTGATGTGCATTGTGAACGCAAAGCAGTGTGATTTTACTTTATTCTTAATTTTTTTGAAAACATTTTGGCCATTACAACATGACTGAAAGTGAAACATTTGTAACAGAAAAATATTATACTATTTGTAACTGAAAAAAATAATAATCTACACCACCATTCAAAAGTTTAGGGTCAGAGGTTTCAGAATCATTACTTCAGTCTTCAGTGTCGCATGATCCTTCAGAAATCATTTTAATATGCTGATTTGATGTTTAAGAAATATTCCAAGAAATATTATCATCAATGTTTAAAACATTTGTGCAGCTATATATTTTTTTGTGGAAACCATGAATTTCTTTTAGGATTTTTTGCTGAACTGAAATTTTAAAACAACTGCATTTGTTTGAAATAGAAATCTTCTGTAATATTATAAATGTCTTTAATGCAACTTTTGATTAATTGAATGGATCCTTACTAAGTAAATCTATTTAAAAAAAACTTAATGACCCCAAACTTTTGAATGGTAGTGTATAGTCTAAAAATTATGATCATGATTATAGCAGCCTTAATTATACATTAAAAGAAACTGAGATGCATTGGCATCTTGCTGAGAAGACATAACAATGAGATGTGTGTGTGTGTTTTGCTTTGTTTTTTGGTTGTCTTACCTTGCATCCCTCACATGTAATGACACCATAATGAATCCCTGATGATTTATCTCCACAGATTTTACAGGGAATACTCTCAATCTGAGCTACAAAGAGACAGAAACACACTTTCAGCAAAAAAACAAATAAATCACATTTGTCTTTGCTACAATATTTTCTCCTGTGTCAGCGTAACATGCAAAGACAGCTTTAATTAAGACTTGTTAGTAATTTTCCTCAGGAAGACTGATGCTTTTAACATTTCTCTGTTTGTTTGAACGGTCTAACCAGCCCAACATAGCAACATTGGCTCAACCGATGGCATGAGTTTGCGCCAAGCAACCAAAATCGGGCAGTGTGCTTTGGAAACTTGTTTGGAAAAAAATTGCAATTCTATTTAGTGCTGCAGAAAAGACTAAATGCAGGTCTTTGAGTACAGGAGAACCATTATCAATCTCAAATCAAAAGGACACTGATAAAACACTGTTTGACAAAGCACATCTGTTTTTGTCCTTTGAAAACACTTTTCTTCCTTTAAACTGATCAGCGGAGATCATAATCACATCAAGACTAATTCCACAGCTCCTGACCTTTGAGTTTGCTAATGCTGAGAGAACAAGGCCTGAGGTTTGTTGTGCAGAGTGTAACCTCAGGCTTTAACTAGCAGAACAACGGTGAAAACATTTTAAAAGAATGAATCGAGAGGCAGCACCACATAAAACACTCCATTTATTCAAGCAGAAAAAATGGCTATGACTGTTGAAATCACCCACGGGACTGACATCATCTGTAAGTACAATATGCTCTTCTAACATCCAACATTCATTTGGGTAACTACAGCATGACAATGCCATCCTCCCTCAAGCCACGAGCTCGCTTTACGACAATGCCGTGGTGCATTTCGGTAAATATCAAAGTCAAGATGCACTCTTAGTTGGAGATAGCGTCTGCTTGTGCTGGATTGTGTGCCGTAGTCGTGCGCGAGGCCCTCAGCGGCTCAGCTGCGGTTGGTTGTGGAAAAGCACACAGAGATTGTGTGCGAGGCTGTTGAGAGGGGAGCTGGGGGAATAGAGCAAGAGGAGAAATCCATTTAGAGAAGAGCAATGCAGTCGTTCCGGCAGCCCTGAGGCGCATACAGTACAGGATGAAAAAGTAAAACGCATCTCATCACCATCAGAGCGTTCTCTTTTCTCTCTCTCTCTCGGTCACATACGCTCAGACTTGTACGTTTTTTTCAGCTGCGGACTCTATTTGCAATGGCACCAGAGCAGTTTGAGAATGACTATTTTCTCATGATTACAGAAAGGGCTAATCCCCTTTGGTTCTGCATGCCGTATTCATTAAGGGCACCCTCACTCTCTCTCATTAGATATGTAAAACCAATCGGCAGTAATTAGCTACTCTGAAGCACAAGACGCTAATCTGGTCTGAATTATGGATTAATACATCAAAGGCACATTCTCCCAAAGCTGCCGCTGAAGTCTTGCAGCAGTAGGTACCGCTGTTCGGCTCTGATGCAAGAGCACAGCTTACAGAGCTGCTATTTCAGACTACAGAATAGGAGTGTTCACGAGGGCCATATACAGATGAGGATTGTGAATGCATGAATTCTGGGTTTGTGTAAAGAGATTCGATTGTGGTGGATATTAAAGACTGATTAGTCTTGTAGACCATTTTTTGAGATCACTTCAACCATGAACAGTAGGATGAAATGCCCTTGTACATCTTACAAAAGTCAAAAATCTAAAAATGAACACGCACATAAAAAAAACAAACTGTATTTTATAAAATATTATACTGTTAATATTGCATTGCATAATGCGACTGCTTATAAAGAATATTTTATTCATAATTTGTCAAAATATGTTTTTAAAAATACATATTCTAATATTATATAATTTGATTTAATATAATAATTTACTATACTACATATACACACTATATAAATACACACGTAATATCTTCTTAATATTTTATAAAATAAAATTTTTTGTAGTGTGTTATATATATATATATATATATATATATATATATATATATATATTTTATTGTATTTTATTGTATATCTTTATTTTCACTT